TCATTAAACCGAAGAAAGGACAGCAATATTCGAGGACTGGAAGAACAAACATTTGATAAAGTCTTAGCTTCATTTCCGGAAGGAAAAAATTATGCGATATGAATCCACATATCTGCGCGGCTTTGGCAGAGATTCTATCTGCATGAGGTGATAAAGCAAGTTTATTTGTATAACTTAGACCTAGGTCCTTTATGGTGAGGCATTCTGAGAGTGGGTTATTCTGAAAAATTATGGGACCAGGAAGTTTGGTAGGACCAAAAGACATGAAACTACACTTGGATGATGAAAACTCCATCTGCCATGTCGAACCCCATCTGCTTAAGCGTAGTAAATCGGCATTAATTTTTTCAACACAAACATTTGCGGTGTCCTTAGAGTATGAGTAAACACACTTGAGGTCATCGGCATAAGTAAAAGTTTGCGAATTTCCGAGTTCAGTCGAAATATCATTGATGTACAGAAGAAAGAGTAGCGGACCCAGAACCGTTCCTTGAAGTACGCCACTCGTGATCGAGTGGGGTGTCGAGTAGCTATTACCGACCATGACTTTCTGATATCGGTTGGACAGATGGGACCTGATGAAGTCGAGTAGAGGCGGCCGGATGCCGAGGGCTTCCAATTTTACTAAAAGACGTCTATGAGGCACCTTGTCAAGGGCTTTGCTAACATCAAAGTAAATAACAACCACTGACTGCCGCTCATTACGAAGAGAAGTGATTAGATTAAGAAAAGCCAAGTGGCATGTTTCGCAGGATCGTTCAGGTAAAAACCCATGCTGACTAGAGCTCAGAAGCCGATTAGCTAGACAGAAGTCAAGAATTTCATTGAAAATAATCCTTTCAAGAAGTTTTTCTAGAGACGGCGTTTTGTGCACGCCCCGATAGTTATTAACATCGGACCGAGATCCTGACTTGAAATGGGGAATGATAATTGGCGTTTTCCATGTTTCAGGAAAGAATCCTTTTTAAATATAAACCGAGACTAAATGACTGAGCAGTATGGGAAGGTCGGACGCTTGTTTAATAATCGAATTCGGAATCCCGTCCGTTCCTGAGCAGTGTGAGTATTTCAAACGGCTTATGTGTTTCTTAATGAGATCTGAGGAGACATCAATTGTACTCAGTGTCCTATCTGAAAGTGATCGAAAGAAAGGGACCGGATCGGACTCGGTAGCAAGGTGTTTTGCAAAGAAAGCACTAAACAACTCCGCCTTGTCAGTGTCATAGGTGAGGAAGACTTCGTTATCATTTAGCATGGGTGGAAGTTCATGACCACGCTTAGAGGAGGACCGATGACGGAAGATGTTAGCGACGGATTTGCCAGGGTTCGAACCACTGAGAGCAATTGATTCTCTTTGCCTGTCGCGCGATTGGCGCATCCTTGAGGCCATCTCAAATATCTCTGTGATTCTAAGATGAACAGATAAGGAACTAGTGGATAGGTCACGCAGTTGTCACCTCAACTTTTTTAGTCTGTTCTGAAGAAAATGAGGAACAAGGGAATCTGAAGAATTAGGCTTGAGATATCTACGCGGCACAAACTCTAGAATGCCCTTGGAAAAATTGGACATGACATCACGAAGAATGGTTACATCGCTCATTGCATCATGGCTCAAACGAAAACTTATGATGAATATAGACTTGCTTATGCTGTTAGTCGTGTTGATTGCGCCTCGTCTTTCAGTGTGATCCATACATGGCACTTCGAACGTCGTCGCCGAAGATGTCTACTGTGTGTTCCACGGCAAGTTGAAAGTAGGCACGGTGACTTGTGCGTGAGCTAGCTTATACTGAATGTGGACTTGCTCAGCATCTATCGCGTCCCACCCTGCAACACCTGCGTCCGGTCTCAACACACAGTAAGAAGATCGGTGGGAAAGGGCGCAGGGAGACTGGCACAGCTGTGTAGTTACATTTAAGTCCGTTTTGTTTTTAATCAGTTACAACTTTGAATAAGAATAAGAACACGCACGTACACTTTTACCTGCTGACGACTTTGTTCTTATTTACTAGTTTGCAACTGTTGGGATACTGCTATTTTCGTTTACCGGATAGCCTACTCGCTGTGCCCAACTAGTGGGTTTGTCTCTTACACTAGTGACCCTCTATCGTTCATAGCTCCTTCTGTTTAATTTCTGTGCATAACTATTTCCATTCAGATTAGTCCTCACTCTAATTTTTATCTATCTGATTATTCATCTAGCTCTTATTTGCTATTCACACTGTCACACCCTTTCTTCCAATACGAGCGCTACCCTTCAATCTCACTGTCAACGCGTCAGTCATCTACCCCATTTATCTGACCTCTGACCGACCTTAGCTAATTATGTTCAGCGATTCTACCAGCCAGCCGATAGCCGGCATTCACACCTTTGGCCTGCCATCCGTGTGGCTCTGTGACATCGCGTTGTGGCTGCGCACTGTAGAGTCCCGTTTCGCCCTCCGTCAGATCATACGAGAGGATACGAAATTTCGCTATATTGTGGCAGCACTGCCAATGGACATCGCCACCGACCTCCGCGACATCATTGATTGCCCTCCCACAGAAGCCCCTTATACTGCCCCAAAGGAGGCTCTCATTTCCCGCATTTCCCTCTCATCGCAAAAACGTCTCAAACGTTTAATTTCTGAGGAGGACCTCGGTGACAGGAAACCTACGCAGCTTCTTAGGCGTTTGGAGCAGTTGGCAGACAGATAAAAGCTGGATGCCACTATGTTCAAGCAACTTTTCCTCCAACGGTTGCCTCCTTCTGTGCAAGCCATCCTTGCGCTTAACATTCCTTCATCGACTGTTCAGATGCTCGCGGTGACTGCTGACCGTAAACTCGAGTACCACCAGCCTCCTGTTACGGTTAACGTCGCTACTCGAAGCACGACTGCCCCCAAAATCGAGGATGTTGTCAAACGCCTGCATGCCCTCACTCTCGAAGTTTCCCAGCTCTGGGCCACTCGTGTCTATAACCCTCGTAGTTCTGCAGTTTCTCGCCGCCCGAGATCTCCCACTCCAAACCAACCTACAGTTGATGTTTTCTGTTGGTATCATCACAATTATGGTTCTAACGCCCATCGCTGCCACTCTCCGCGCAAGTATAAAACACTCGCGTCGGAAAACTCCCCTGCCGACCAGTAAGGACGACGAACGTGGTCGGCACATCCTCTCCAAGTCGCTTACTCCACATCTATGACAGGACTTTTTGTCGTAATTTTCTCGTGGATACTGGTACGGAGATCAGTCTTATCCCACCCACCTTGACTGACCGTAATTCACCAAATTCTTCATTTTTCCTCCAAGCAGCTAATAATACTTCTATTAAAACTTTTGGTCAACGATCCCTTATACTAGATTTGGGTCTAAGACGTTCATTTCGTTGGCTATTTACTATCGCTGATGTCCATACTGCCATTATCGGCGCTGATTTTATATCCATTTTTCGGTCTCCTCGTTGACATTAAGTCCCAAAAATTATTTGATCCTAAGACATCTTTACATTGTAATTATTCCACTCATACCCTTTCATCACCTAATCCACGCATTTCAACAATCCCTTCGTCTACTCCCTATCATCGTTTACTTTCGGAATTTCCATCTATCCCACGATCTTCACAATTTAACCAACCTATCAAGCATTCTGTTGTACATTATATTTCAACTACTGGACCACCCGTGTTTAGCCGTCCCCGTCGTTTAGCCGCCGATAAGTTAGCCATAGCCAAGGCTGAATTCAGTCATATGATGGAGATAGGCATAGTTAGGCCTTCCACTAGTCCATGGGCTGCACCTCTACATATGGTGTGCAAAAAGTCTCTCGTTGACTGACGCCCATGCGGGGATTACCGACGGTTAAACACATGTACTATGCCTGACAGGTATCCACTTCCCCATCTCCCGACTTTTCAACTAGCCTAGCTGGAGCAACCATATTTTCCAACATTGACTTAATCAAAGCTTTCCATCAGATACCCGATGCTCCAGAAGACGTTCCCCAAACGGCGATTACAACACCGTTCGGTTTGTTCGAGTTTGTCAGGATGCCTTTTGGGCTACGCAACTCCGCTCAAACTTTTCAACGTTTCATCAACGTAGCCCTCCGCGATCTACCTTTCCTCTTTGTCTACGTCGATGATGTTCTGGTAGCAAGTTCCAGTGAGCACGAGCACCTACAGCATTTGCGTCTCATTTTTGAACGATTGAGCCAATTTGGCGTTTTCATTAATGTTTCTAAATGCGTTTTTGGCGCACAGTCGCGGTTTTTCCTAGGGCACCGCGTAGATGCTTTTGGTTGTCATCCCATAGATGCCAAAGTTTCAGTTATTCGCGATTTCCCTAATCTCATTTCTTTTCAACAACTGCGCCGTTTTATAGGCCTTGTCAATTTCTATCGACGTTTCATTCCTCATTGTGCTCAATTAATGCTACCACTTACTAACCTTTTACGCGGAAACAACTGTGAGTTTTCTTTTCCTGACACAGCTGTAGAGGCTTTCAATCGTGCAAGGAAGGCCCTTGCGGATACAGCTGTCCTTGTTCACCCTATACCTGATGCCCCACTTTCCATTGTGGCCGACGCCTCTAATTTCGCTATAGGTGCTGCCCTTCATCAACAGACGCCCACTGGCACCCAGCCTTTGGTTTTCTACTCTGTCAAATTGACACCCCCACAAACTCGCTATAGCAATCTTGGTAGAGAACTTCTTACAATTTATATAGCCATTAAGCATTTTCGTAATTATATTGAGGGCCGAGATTTTTGTATTTATATTGACCACAGGCCTCTTACTTATGCCCTTTCTACTTCTTCTGACACGTATTCACCCCACGAGGCCCGTCATTTCGATTTTATTTCTCAATAAACCACCGAGATTCGATTTCTTAAAGGTCTTTATAATCAAGTTGCTGACTGTCCTTCTCGGTCTGCCATTAATGCCATCATCCGCCCTTCCATCGATTTGGAGCGCATGGCAGAACTGCAAAATCAGCCGACTTTCAATGATAGCCTTCAACACACTAGTCTTCAATTCGAAGCCATTCCTCTTTCCACCACCCTCGGCACAATCTTGTGTGACGCATCGAGCGGTGCCTCCCGACCCGTAGTGCCAGGCGAGATGAGACGAGATGTTTTTGCCGCGCTGCACGATCTACCTCACCCTGGCATCCACACTACCCAGCGCCTCGTCAGCGAGCGGTTCGTTTGGCCAAGCATGAACACTGATATACGCCAGTGGACCCGTTCATTTTTGGCCTGTCAGAAGGCCAAAGTCGACGGCACAACAAAGCCCCCATTGGCACTTTTCTCGCACCCGACGCACGTTTTTCACATGTCCATATCGATCTGGTAGGTCCTTTCCAACATCTCTTGGTTTCAACTGCTTACTACTTTCTGCGATTGACCGATTTACTCGTTGGCCCATTGCAACTCCCATACCTAACATAACTGCCGATTCCATTGCTCATGCTTTTTTGGAACACTGGATCTCTCTTTAAGGCGTCCCCTCAACTATTACCACCGATCGAGGTCAACAATTCGAGTCTAGACTTTTTAACAACCTTACCAACCTCCTCGGATGTTCTCGTATAGGCACGCCAGCATACCACCCCTCATCCTACGCTTAGTCGAGCGTTTCCACCGGCAACTCAAAGCCTCGCTCCGAGCTCATGACAACCCTTCCCATTGGAGCGAGCATCTGCCTTTGGTCATGCTCGGTATCCGTACCGCACTCAAGACCGACTTGGAGTGTTCCGCTGCCGAACTTGTCTACGGTACCACCCTACGGATTCCTGGGGATTTTTTCGGGTACTCTCGAAGCTCAGGCGACTTGGATCCCAGCGACTATGTGCAAAGATTGCGCCAAGCCATGACTCATCTTCGAGCCACTCCTCCACGTCCTTCAACAAGTAAGTCGTACGTCGACCCGAACTTACTAACATGTTCTTTTGTATTTGTCCGCATAGATAGCGTTTGCCGGCCACCACAACAGCCCTATGACGGCCCATTTTGAATACTATCGAGCAAGGACAAGCATTTTACAATTGACCGTGGAGGCCGCACCGACGTGGTCTCAATCGATCGCTTGAAGGCGGCTTATACCGAGCCTCTTTCAACTTCTCCAACGGAACAACCTCCACTTGGCATATTGCCACTTGCTGTTTCCCAGACTCCATTTACGCCCAATAACCCCGCGTCTTCCTTTATCCCACAGACTCCTCCCCTTACGCGCAGCGGTCGTCATGTCCGTTTTCCCGACCGTTACCAACTTGTACAATATGCATAACACTCCCACATTTTCCTTCTATTAACAATAATTTTTTGAACTCCGTTCTCCTAGGAGGGGGAGTATTGTAGTGACATTTAAGTCCGTTTTGTTTTAATTAGTTACAATACGCTTTGACACACCTTTGAATAAGAATAAGAACACGCACGTACACTTTTACCTGCTGACGACTTTGTTCTTATTTACTAGTTTGGAACTGTTGGGATACTGCTATTTTCGTTTACCGGATAGCCTACTCGCTGTGCCCAACTAGTGGGTTTGTCTCTTACAGCTGGAACAGCACCTAGGCGTACTACCGCACCCTCTGGTTCACAACAAACACTCGACCAGGATTTTATGCAACAACTACAAAACCGGTCCGAGAAAGGAGGAAGCCTGGGCAAACATACAAACGACCTGTATACCCAGCAGGAGCCCAAACGCATCCACCGGCAGTGAACCAGGTGCCAGAGAGCTGCTAGAGCATACCAGGCTGCGAGGACCATGGTTTGTTGAATCACTGCATAGTAGACGCACACAGTCCCTCATGTCCCGAATTGTGAGATGTAATCTTTCACTTAATCTGGGCCACCACTCTTCAAAGACCGGGTTACCAGTCAACCATCGGGTGAGGGGAACTGCCCATAAAGCCAGACACCCCTCAAATGCATGAGAATTCCAGAGGTCACTTTATGAAGGGGCTGTTGAAGCAGGACTCTCAGTTTACCCGATCGCTACTCCTCACAAGCAGACATTATGGCTCTCATAGAAACGTGGTTTTCTGAAGATATTGCAGACTCAGATATATCACTTAGAGGATATAAACAATTCCGGAGAAATAGACCTAGCCGAGGAGAATGGGTCATGATTTATGTCGCTTGCAAGCTGATCGCTGTGGCTGAGGTATAAAGTCCGATAGGGGACTTGGAACTTTTAAGCATCACTATGCCTGCTGGGTATGTACGACCACTGACGCTTTCAATGTTGTATCGTTCGCGTAGCCAGACTTCTAAACAAAATCTCGTTGTCATAACCGAACTCTGAAAAGCGTTCATGGCAATGATTGGCAAACGGGGACTGCGCAAGAGCCGCACGAAAACCTTAATCACAAGTTACTACAATGGGCAACGGACAGACTTCTCTGTCATAACGTTACCTTAAGAACGCGGGTTAGGGAAGGACAACAGTCAAACTGCCTTGGTGTTATTTGTACCTGAGAGTAGGAAACTTTGCTAGACCTGCAGGACCGACGGCCAATAGGGTCAACTGTCCATATTACGCTGTATTTCGAGCACTCACTGTTTTCTAAACCAATTCTGCCTGGTAGGTGCGAAAGAAGCGTTTGAACGTGAGACTATTCTCTCACGAGGAGAGAAGTTTCAATGGTATCATGGGGGACAGAACTTCATGGTAGGGCAAACGACACTTGTGAGACTTTCAGTTCCTTAC